GTGTAGCTTTGCGCGAAATTCCAAAACAAACAAACAAGCTTTTGAATCTGTTTCTTCGCAATATTCATGTAATTTGTCTAGATTTATGACGCTACCTAATATTATGAGTTACTCTCGACCACAGCTTTCATTATAAGTTTGGTTGCAACATTCATTGTAATGTCAGATGATCTAACTGATTTATTCCCTCACCGTTTATCATTTATCAACACTTACAAGCAAGACACTAATGTTATAAATGTTTTCGAAAATTTGTCAAAAGTTTAAATTTATTTTGAAACTAAAAGAGGTAAGCAGTTGGTTTCGTAGAAAATTATAACAACGTATTTTTTAAGGAATAACCTTAGACGTTTATTATAATACGTCGTTTCTTTTGTACCAAAAATGTTGTAAGAAGATTTTCACAGAGTATCTTAGAACGATTATCTCGAAGACGGCATCATTCTTGTTTCTGACAAAAAAAAAACATGTTTTTATTTTGAAGTTACGCACGATTCTTTAACTTGTGTGGAATTCAGGTGCATTGATATCTAACAGATAAAACGCAAATTTTTGAAATTTTACCGCACTAAAAAACACGCACATTGGAGAAAAAAACAAATAAACAAATGAAACAGTGTCGCTGGGGGGGGGGGGCTAAAATTTGTGTATTTAGTTTATAAACTGGTACTCAGTAGACTTTTCATTTTCTGTTCTGATCTCGACTGGCTTTTAGGGTAAAGAGACTTCCCAATCCTCTGTATAGAAACAGGAGGAAATCAAGACAAAGATCTGAGTGAATATCCCATTTTTATAGTCAGGTAGAAGCCTCATTGCAGTATCCCGTAAGTCATTATGTTGCATACTTCAATTGTATGTCTACGTTCATAATCATAACCATCCCAATCAGTTTGTAGAGATTACTGTATCACTAAGCACGGTAGTGTTTAGTATGTAGGGATGGGCCGATAAAAACATGGCTGTCGCATTCAATCTATTACTCTATGATGCTTACAAATAGCTGCTAAAGTTGTGTTATAGCCTTATTTGAGCACTTAATTGCCATTATTGGATGTTTCATAGCTTGTGAGACTCACAATATCATTGAAAAGTGTTGATAAAGTGTAGAACTGGGAACTAGCTAGTGTTCGTCTTTTCTCTTTCCACGCTAGCCATGCCATTATTGGATGTTTCATAGCTTGTGAGACTCACAGTATCATTGAAAAGTGTTGATAAAGTGTAGAACTGGGAACTAGCTAGTGTTCGTCTTTTCTCTTTCCATGCTAGCCATGCCATTATTGG